TTCCGACCACCGACTTCTCTCACTTCATCCTTGCTCATCTCACTTCCTCCTTCCACCTTTTAGTTTTCCCTCCATCCCAGACCCCCATCTATCACTCAAGGCCCCAGACACCAGCCCTCCCTGTCCCCCATCCTGCCAGTCACTTGCCCCCAGTCGGAGAACAGGGGCTGCTCCCTACTGTAGCAGGCAATGGGCAAAGCTCGTCCTCTCCTGCTCCGGCTTCCCCGCAGTTTGGGAAGAAAAAGAGAAATATCACAACTTGTGGTGTCCGTGTCTGTGAGATTAAGAAACCTGTTCTGGTCCAGCCAGCCTGCTTCTACCTCTTTCCCTATCAGGTTTATTTTCTTTTGAAGGTACACACCTGCTCGGCCCCTCAGGTTTCTGGCTTGCTGCCCCCCACTGCATGAAACTACTACAGCTCAGAGCAGCCTGCTTCTCTCCAGCATTTCCTGAAACTTTTCTTTTTTTTTCATTTTGGATGCTTTCCCCAGGTTTCAAGACAAACAGGGTCCAGCAGAAGTAAGGCCTGCTTCAGTGTGGTTGGTAAGGTAATAATATGGGTGTCATAACTTATCGTTTTAATTTGAACATTTCACCTAAAATGTCATATGGTGTGATTGGATGTGACATTATTATGTTATGGAATTACATGCTTATGGTTTTGTAATAAAAGAGTTTGTAATAAAAAAGGGGCATTTGCTGGCTGGCATAGCTCAGTGGATTGAGTGCAGGCTGCAAACCAGTGCTGCAGGTTTGATTCCTAGTCAGGGTATATGCCTGGGTTGCAGGCCATGACCCCCAGCAACCCCGCATTGATGTTTCTCTCTCTCTTTCTCTTTCTCTTTCTCCCTCCCTTCCCTCTCTAAAAATGAATAAATAAAATATTTTTTAAAAAGGGGGGGGGCATTTGTGCCAGACCCTGTATATTTATTAAATTGATAATACACATGAATAAACAAAAAACACCACTTGTTCGTGTATGTATATATGCACATACTAAATGGTTTAGGTATATTCTGCCATTTGAAATCTACTTATGATCAAAACAAGTGAATAGGCTCCATAATCTTGAGCCTCCATTTTCTCAAGTGTCAAAATGGGTTAGACAGAATGCTCTTTGCACCACAACTACCTTAGTTACATGGTGAGCTGCACAAGATGAGCATCTACTGTCTTTGTAGACTATGAAATTATAACCAAGGTGTCCCCGAGGCACAGACTTTCAAACAAAGGAGGCACTTATGGCCTAGGGGCATTCAACTTTTAAATCAACTCTGATATTGAATCTTTTTTTGAAAAAGTCTTTTTTCCTGTTAAAATTCCATCAGAACTTACTTTCTAGAAACTGGAAGAACATGTTTACCTATGGGTATGTTAATGGTGTGCTTCCACTTGCTCAGAATGCACACACGAGTGTGCGCTAGTATCTGCTAGCTCCCCTAGACATGATTCCCGAAAACCGAGCAGCAATACTTGGGCTCCAGTGTTCCTAAGATCCAGAACAGCGCTCCGCACAAGGTAATCCCACAATACAATTTTGTTAAGTGAACGCATCTAAAAATGACTCCCCTCTTCCTAACCTTGCGTATTGCTTTTTTCTAAAAGATACCAGTTCCTGTTTAAATGGGAAGAAATCAATCTCTCCTGGAGGCCACATTTGGCAGCGAGCTTTCTGCCTGGTGAGAGGAAGCGCAAGCCCACACACTGCAGCTGCTGTGGTGCACGCCTGCTTCCCGACAAGAATGGCAAACAATGACATATGTCCATGGGTGCAACCGTCCATCCATCTATCCCTCTGGTCAGGTAAATCCTGCTGATGACAGGGGTTCACACAGTATACAGTGCTCTCTCTCCGAAGGACCACGGACACGGAAATCTTTGACTGACATTAACATTCTTATCTGAACTAAACCAGTTTCTATATGGGTTGGTTGTCCAATGTAACTGCTTAGCAAAAAATAAAAGTGCGTGAAATACTGAGAAACTATAAGCGTTTCTTTGATTTCTAAAAAAAAATTATGTTGAAATCCATGGTGCACTAGGTAACTTAGAACATAAAAGACACGCACGCTGCAGAGCCTGCTCAGAGGCAGGGAGGCATGACAGGACAGGCAAAGCGAACACAATGTGAGCACCGGCAGCTCCCCCCTTTTAGGAGCCACGGCATTCTACAAGTGTGTTAAATGAGCCACTACCATATGCTCAGCTCTGTAAAATATGTGGAAATGACAACACATACTCTTGATTCTCTTGAAATCTGGTAAAGGAGTCCCGGGGTGTGAGCATCCAAGTGGCACAGCATGGGGCCCCGCACTAGGCTCAACATGGATGTTGGGTATTTGGAGGAGAGAGCAACCGTGTGAGATAAGGAAAGGTTTCCAGAAGAGGGGTGTGGTAACTGGGGAACATTGACAGGTCAGGCAGCCAGGGAAGGAGGGAGGCACTGTCAAGAACTTGGGAGAATCCAGACCAGGGGGTCTGGCAGCATGGACTCAGGCCAACAACATCTGCATCCCTGAGAGTGTGTTAGAATGTAAATCCCAAGCCCACCCCAGACCTATCAAGTCAGCAATTATGGGGATGGGGCCCACTGATCTGAACAAGTTTTCTGGGTGATTGTGATGCATACCAAGTTTGAGAATGGCCAAGTCAGAGCACGCACTGTTCCCTCTTCAACTGGCTAAGCAAGTGGCTAAAGCAGGTACTGGCTCCCCAAATGTTCCCAACGTTGCCTGAGTCCACCACGTCCCAGGATTATCATGGAGAAAACCTGGGCTTTTCTCCCCCCTCCCCTTTCTGCAAACTAGTGTCCTGGGGACTGGGAAGCCATGGTGAGAATGGGAGGCTGGGGGCTGCTCAGATGCCGCACACAATGAGAAAATCAGTTATGTTTCCTGCCGGCTTCTGGACAAACCCCTCTCATGGATCCTCCTCAATGACCTGTACTTCTAACAGACAACTGGATACTGGGAGGGCTGGAGGCAGAATGGAGCCAAGCAGAGGTATGGAAGCAATGAGGCCTCTGTGAGCCCAGAGAGTTGGCAGTTATTACCCACGTCCCCATGCATGCAGGTCAAATTCTTAGCTTGCAAAGCCTGTACCTATCCCTTAATGAGATGGTTGAGAGCAACCATCGAAAGCAAAAAAGCCATTGAAATTGCACTTCTTTTTAGATCAGATCTTTAGAAAGCACAGCAGGAACAGTCTGGAAATTGTTATTGACTTAATTGAGATGCCACTAACAAAACAAAAGCGGAGTGTGGCTTTGGTTCCCCTCTCACCCACCAAAAGGTGATATGCTCCTTTGCTGCTTCATTCTCCCTGTTTGTGTAGCTCACACTCTCTTCAGAAGCACAGAGGTTTACATGGTCTTTTTCATCTGAAGTGCTAGCTTCTGGGCACACCATGCTACTGAAGTGGCCCTTGCTAAGGCCATTGGGGATCTCAAGTGGTCCCATTGCACGCATGTACAAATGGCTTTCTGCTGTCAGTCAGCAGAAGAGGGCACAACACATACGGGTCTGGCCCACTCGACAGCAGTTCTGATTCCATTAGTTTCCCCAGGGGTCATCACAAATGCTGTATGATTCCACTTATGAGGCATCTAGAGAAGTCATACTCACAGAGAGGGAAAGAATGATCATTGCCAGTGGCCAGGAAGAGGGGGAATGGAGGCTTACTGTTTAAGGGATACTGAGTTTAAGTTTTGCAAGATAAAAAGATTTCTATGGATGGATGGTAGTGACAGTTGCACAACATGAATGTACTTAATGTCACTGAACTATACACTTAAGGATGCTTAGACTGGTAAATTTTGTTATGTGTATTTTACCATAATTTAAACCTCTTTTCTAGAAAGTAAATGAGCTATTCTGTTTTACTGCAATACGCCCAGTTGGATATGCAATAATAAAATGACAATGAAGGTAACGATTTACAGGCATGGGGTTACATGCTTGGAAATTACCTCATTCCACCCTTTTAGGTGCATTCCATTATCATCGTCAACTTACAGATGGAGGAAGAGAGGGGCAGTGACTTGCCGAGGCTCACACTCCTCCTATGAGGTGGGGTGAGATGCCAACACCTGGATGCTGAAGCCCCATGAGACCCTCACCATGCAAACTTAGCTCAAAAGAACACAAATATGGTGAGTGACTGTGTGTGGACAGGCACATGCAAAGACCTCCAGACCACCGACTTGTATGGTCCTGGTATGTTACACCAACACACATATTACACATGTAATGGTGGAAAGTCCTGCCAATGAACCTGTGCAGAGAACGCAGTACTTCCTTGTGGGGAGGGATGGGTATCTTAGGTCTGGAAGGCACAATGTCCAACTCGGACCCCACATCACTAACACATGAGTCCAGTCAGCCAGTGAATGGATTTGAGTTTTGCAAGGCACATCTTGGAAGACATGCTTGAACAAAGTATGCCCCTTGCCTTCAAGGGTCTCATAGTTCAGACACATGTACACTAAGACAATATTTGCCACGCCGGGTCCTGGCTTCCAAAATGGGGCTGTGCAGTCAAGGCAGAGGGAGCCTGGGGGTGTGGAAGGAGGCCCAACAGAGCAGGGAGGGGTCAGGGGACGGAGCTGCCAGTGAGACATGTGTACCTGAGGCCAGCAGGGTGTCCAGGGCATGGAGGTGGGCATGGCACCTGCATTTCCAGTCTGAAGAGCTGCTGGCCTTGCTCTAACAAAGCACAGGGGAAATTCCTGCCTGTGAGCGGGCCCTAGGTGCTAGATACCTGATCCTGATCTGCTAATCCTGAAACCCACGCCGCGGCTCCCAGCCTCGCACCCGGTTCTGCCTGAGCACCGAAGCAAGGGCAGTAGTGGCAGAGTCTTTGACTGCTTTGCTACAAAGTGGAAAGGCAGCTTTACCTGTCTCCGTCCCTCAGCTGGACACACTCAAGGCCCTTCTACTGTATCCCTAGGCCACTCCTCACCCACCCCTGTGCCCACCTCAGGGGTGAGAGCAGAGCCATACCTGGTGTGGGTCAGGGGACCCACTGGTCGTTCAGGTCTCCTCGGGGGCAGTGCTCCTGGTCTGCTGAGAGAATTGGTCTTGGGTGGCCGTGGCTTTTTTGGTGGTATGGCAGGAACGGAAGGCTTCTGTAAATCCAGTTTTGGCTCTCTCTCTGGTCTTTCTTTTAAGTCATTGTTTAAAAAAGCATAAAGAAGACAGATAGATCTAGCGTAAATACCAGTACTTATGTGCAGATTACTTATTTCATGCTTAAAACAAAATCAACAATGCCATTTGCAAAGGCAAAGTTGGATATTGAAGAGCACCTTTTGTTCTCTGTCAGGTTAGAAGAAGCCCTATAGAGCCGTAGCTTACTGTTTGCCTTTGCTCATGCTGGTCCCTCTGCCTGGAGAGCCTTTCCAGCCACAGACCACCCTTGGCAAACTCCTGTGCATCCTTGCCAGGCCTGACTAAAATGTGACCCCAACCATGTTTCCTTCTCAAAGCTGGACCCATCATCAAAGGCAGACTTGACTTCCTCACTTGAGCCACAAAGTGTAGCCCTGTATAAACAGGCTCCACTTGGATACTATGCTAGGCACAGCCTGGACACTGTTAGCCCCAAGAGTAGGGCCCACATCTGGTCATCTCTATAGAAACCTACATGACACTTGGCACATAACAGGTGCGGTAAATGACCCACAGGACCTGCTGGGTGTGGGTAGGAAAAAGGCATGACACCTCTCAGGTCAGCCTGTGTAAAGCTAATAATGGGGGGAGCGTTTCAGGGAATAAGAACTAGTTCTGGATTCTTCTTGTGCAGTTTGAACTTGGAAAGTAAACTGGGGCTTCACAGTTATTTGGTTTCTAAGGGTTTTTGGAGTCACAGCTATCAAAGTGAAGTTAAAGCCAGATCTGGTGGCCCAACTGGGCAGCGTTCAGTGACAGCTTCATTTTTACTGTCCCCAATTAGCCTTGTCCTGTTCATGGTATAAAAAGCAAGTATCTACATTCATCTTATTATTATTTTTTAGATTTTATTTATTTATTTTTAGAAAGTGAGAAAAGAAGGAAAAAAGAGTGGGACAGAAACATCAATGTGTGGTTGCCTCTTGTGCCCCACACCAGGGACCTGGCCTGCAACCCAGGCATGTGCCCTGACTGGGAATCGAACCCCTAACCCTTTGGTTCATAGGCTGGTGCACAATGCACTGAGCCACACCAGCCAGGGCTCCACATTCTTCTTTAGAGACAGAACTCCAGAGAGTTGCCAACTGGAGGACAGGCAGGTTCCCTATGTTCAATTGTAGCTGGAAATCTGAACACATTTTACTTGAAAACACTAACTCATATTGTTTGTGTGCCTGGGCTGATTGGCAAAGCTTTTAAAAGCCCACCAGCCACCATGGAGCTATTGAGGTGCTGATTCCCCACAATATTTTGGTGGGGAATATGCTCTATCCAGGAATTCTGGAAGCTCATTAGCTGGTACATGGAAGGAACAGGACGCCAAGTCTTAGGGTGGGGCTGGCTCCCTGGCTCCCCTGTTGCTTCTGATCAGGGCTTTTGCCTTCCTGGCCCACTGGGCCACAGAACAAGGGAGCCTGGAGCGGGGAAGGAACCAGAAGTCTGCTTCCACTTGGCCAGCCACGGAGGGCAGTTGTTCACATGTAAGCTGAAGCTGTCTGTTAGCATGGAACAGAGCAGGGAGTGTCCTTGTCAAGGAGCCTGGCTATTAGCCAGAAACCAGCCACGTGTCCTCCACAAGGACAGGAGGCAGAATTTGGTTACATCACAACACACACTTTTATCAAAGAGCTATTCGTATGGCACATGGTCGATGGCTATTTTTTCATTGATGTGTGACACACACCCCTGGCCTTTAGAATGAGCTTCCACAGCTCAAGTTTTAACTGTTCACTATGAAAGAAAGAGGTGTAACTTCTTGAGAGCTCACAATGTCAGTAAAACTTTTGGCTAGCTGATATAACATATTAAATTTCACAATAAAATTTCATGAGGCCACCCAGGAGCACCTCCACATAATTACATTCATTAATACAGCATTTCTCTTGTGACTTACAAATAACTGCTTTTTAAAGTGGAATGTGCTCTGCTTCCTGCTCATAATAATAACATAGCACTTTCCCCATAAAGTGTGTGATCAATCAAATCTCAGACACCTAATAAAATGAGTCCTTCCACAGCATGCAAACTTCTTGGGAGAGACACTCGGAAGGGTAGAAATCAAACACATTTGTAAGCCTGACTGTGTGAGACGGGTTAAGCTACTTCCCTGCAAATGTCGTTTCTGACCACCTTCAGGGGACTGTAGACACTGAGCTGCTTCTCCTAGTTTGACCATGCTTCCCCTCTCCCAGCATTCTCCACCAGGGACGAGGATGCTGCTGGTGTGGGCAGGGTGGTGATAGCAGGACGATTGGGATGGAAGAGTCGCAGTGTGTTAAGGGACTGGGCCTGTTATTTATTGTTCGGAAGGAAACACCATATAACCCTGTCTCCTATTTCCTTAGATATGGGATATTTAAAAGCAATCAAAACCACATTCCAAAGAAAGAGCAAGTTCTGTGGGTAATCCAGACTAGCCAGCTTCATTTCTTGCTGTTCTAGAAGTGCCAATGAAGACTTGATTTCATACCTTTTTCTTCTGTTCTGTTTGGAAGTGTTTCTGGTCTTTCAGGAGGTATCTTTTTAATTTCATGTTTTCTCTCAGTGGTACCTGGGGGGAAAGGATAACAGTGATCAGAAAACATTTTCTCTACTCATTTATTAGACGTGCCAGCATTTTAAGCATTTATCAGGTAGAGCAAAGTTAATAGATTTTTTTCCCCCTAAGCTGAGTGCTGGTATTACCTGACAAACATGAGTTGCTAAAAAACAGCAGAAGCCATTTCTGTCCTGTCATTAAGTTTGCCTGCCTATGCATCCTTAATTTACAAGAACACCACTAAAATGTTCTGATATTTAAATTTGACTTCTTTAGGCATCAAAATAGTCATAGAAAAATTCTTGGATGTGGGTGGGGAATGTGTATAAATAAATAAAGAAGTCACTCTTTAAAATATGCAAATATGGGGTCACTGGATATTGTGCTGTAAACATAAAAAGGAACTTCACAGGGACCTGGGTTCCATTTTGTAACAGTTTTGAAATATGGCCTCAAATAGTTCGCTATCCATCTGATTAAGGGGTGAGTTCTATGTCCCCTGTCTGGAATGAGGGCAGGCTTGTGACTGCTTCAACCAGTGGCCGATGCAATACCATATAATTTTCAACGTTATGTCCTAAAAGGACATGTAGCTTATGCTTTATCTGCTAGAATACCGAGCCTCCGTGTAAGGAGGGAATTCATCTGAGGCCACCATGTTGCAAAGGCTGTGTGTAGGCCATGTCAGTCACTCTGGCCTGCAGCTCTAGCTGAGGCCAGCCTTCCAGCTACTCCTGCTAAGGGGAGCCAGACACGAGAGTGAAATAGTCATCTTCAAAGTGGATCCATCAGCCTCCGCTGGTCTCGAATTCCCAGCTGAGGTCTCAGACATCATGGAGAAGAGAGACAGGACACCCTGGCCATGCCATGTTCAAATTCCTGACCCCGGAATTCATGGGCATAAGAGGATTGCTGTTTTACACTGACAAGTTTGGGGTGATTTGTTATGCAGCAGTAGTAACTAGAACATATTTTTAAGTGGAGAGACATGCAGGGACGATATGGTGGTTCTCCCTAAGTCCTTTCCATTTGTGTATGAATCCCCCAAGTATTAGATCTCCCCAAATGCAACAATTAGCATTTCCTCTTTACCCATGTGGACTGCAGCAGCTCCCTCCCCTGGGGTCTTCAGCGGGGTCAGTGATTTCAGGCACAGAAGAACACTTGAAAAATAGCTAAGGCATGAAACCAATCACAAGTACTCCTCTGGTTTACGGATTTGGTTGAGTACTTGACAAGCTCCTTACATTACCAGCCCTACGGATGCTTGGTACTAAAATCTCAATTACATGTAGTATCAGACGCCAGAAGAACTTAAAAAATTTCACTGAACACATACTTTATTTATCTAAATCTCTTTAATGACTCACTACAAATTAAATACTGTATCTGATTTCTGTCACTTCCGTATCTGCTTTTATTGTGAAATAACCAAACACAAGGAAAGCTGATGATGAGGAAAATATGAATATCTACCTCCCTGTCACAAAGCCATTCCCCAGTTCATTCAGCAGTGTAAATGAGCAATAATAATCTAGGAAGATTAAATGTCCTCTTGTTTTGCCCTCGGAAATCCAGCATAACCTTTGGTAAAAGTGTTCTGAAAGGATACGAATTTGCCTGCCATGCCACAGTCTAGTCTCCTAAGGATAATGAAGAACTCCAGTATCATCCCTAGAGATGGAGACAGGTGGAACTGACAATCCTACTACCATGGAGAATCCAGTCCCAGTCACACTCCAGGCTGTCTGAGCCTTGGGCCACTCAACTCATCAACTTGGCCTCTCATCTGTCACCAAGGCCTCTGGGGAAAAGGGTCTTCAGAGACGAGAAAATCAATAGCCTGCTTTGATTTCACCACAATAAAATATTTGTCCAGCCAGAACCACTAGGTGGCAAAACTAAACTGCTCAATGCAAACAAGGATGAGGGTGGAGCAGAGATGTAATTAACATCCCATTTCAGGGCTTAATCTCTAATTCTCAAGGCTGAAGGGAGCGGGAGTGGAATTTGGGGTCAAGGTGACTTTCCCAACAAACTTGGTGAGCCAAAAGAACTTTAAAAAAACCACTCCTGATCAAACTGTAAATAAACCAATCTGGAAATGTATTCATACTTTAAATGCTACAGAAATATCATAATTACGAGTGTATAGAGCTAAAAATATACCTACCCTTCTTCTCTCTTAGTTGTTAATTTTGAAAATGTCACATATCTAGTTATTCACGGAGGAATTTCCCCCCATAATTCCCTTTTAACAAGTATAAAGAGTTCTATTGGGAAATATGAATTATCATCTTTATGTATGAGATTCCATTGTGCAACAAGTTACTCAATGTCTGGCAACATCAAGTCTTCCCATTTTATTCAACCCTAATATCCAAACTGCACAGAAAAGGCGAGTTAGACTCTTTTCAAGATTAAAACAGATCACGAGGAAAAGTATTTATTGCTAGATGCAAAAGATGTTTTGGTTGGGGGTAAGTGCAGTAAGTACAAATTTTGGTTAACCACATGGGACAGGCACTGAAAATTTGGTGCCACTATACATGCACGGTGAGGCCACGACACGTGGGACGTGGTCCTCTCCAAGCTGACCTTCGATCGCTCAGGGACAAGAGAAGGAAGACAATTAGGTTCTTCCCTCCTCAAAAGCAGTTTATTAAAACAATAAAAACAAAGCAGACAAAACTGGCTTATTCTAAAGCCAAGTCTCTCTGGTCACTCTTTGGGAGGCTAGACTTACTTTCCCTCCCTCCCTCCCTCCCTCCCTCCCTCCCTCCCTCCCTCTCTCTCTCTCTCTCTCTCTCTCTTTCTTTTCCTTCTTTCTCTTTCTCTCTCTCTCTTTCTTTTTCTTTCTCTCTCTCTCTCTCTCTTTCTCTCTCTCTCTCTCTCTGCTGTATCAGGGATACATTTTAATGATCTGGGTTTTTTTTGTTTGTTTTTGTTTTAGGAAAACTAGTTATTTAAAACCTGCCTCTTGAGACCAAGTCATTACTTCCCAATTTGGCAGTCTGTAGCATCTGAATCTAAGAATCTTCGGCTCTACCAAGGACACTGTAAATACACACAGAGAAAGATGCACATCGTGTTGACCGAACTGAAAGGTAACTTACCTGCCCCTTGCTTGATGACAGGAGCGGATGGAGGAGGTGGCTTCTTGGGTCTCTGGAAAATTAATCAAAATGATGCCACGTGAGATTGTTGGCAAGTCTGGCTTCTCATGTAAGGACCACAGATAGTGTGTTCTAGGTGTAGTTTGGACAGTCCAGAGAAGCTCTCCAAAAAACAGAAAAACTGAGCAGTTCTCTCTCTAGGGATGTTAGGTTTCGGCACCTTTAAACAAACACTAAAATACATTCAGTCTGCAAAACAAAACTCTGGTGGACTAATGAAATACCATTTCCCCCTTTCTAAATTTGTAACAGCCTTCTGGAAAAGCTCGGCTCAGCAAAAAATGGCCTGAAACCAGCAAGCACAATGGTACTCCTACGCTGAAACCGCATTTGCAATTAAGATTTAATCTGCTGAATAACCAAGCGATTCAGAAAGAGTCACTGGGGTGGCTTTAAATCAGATCTGCTCTGGATGTGGGGCCTTCACCAAAATGCAGGCTCAGGGGCTGATGAGACTGGGTGGGTTTCTAAGCCTGCTGCCCCTTTCTCTCCCAAGGCTGGCAGGCCATTTGCAAGGCGCCTGCAGACCAGCTGTACCCTAGAGGCTGGAATGGAGCTTCTTTGCTTATCAGCCACTACTTGTTTTACTCTCACATCATGTCACTCTAAGTAGGTGATGGAGGCAGTAATGCAATCAATGGCATTCACCCTGATCCAGTTCTAGGGTATCTGCTTGCTCATCAGACTTAACTGCAGGAGAGTGATAGTCAGGCTGGACTAGGCAAGTGATTCAGGGGCTGAGAATCTAGCCAGACTGCAATTCTTGGACACTATTCTTGCATGGGGGGCGGGGCGGGGGGGAAGGGGGCCAAAGGCAAGGAAAGAACCATCTCAGCATCAAATCACTAAGGAAAGATGGAAAAAGGGAGGATTTGAACATGGGATCCATGTCGCTGCTGACACTTCCCCTGACCCCTGACCCTCTCCAGGCATCATATACTTGTAATTTAAATAACACCTCAGACTTTCTTTTGTGTTCTGAAAATTCACTCCTGTGATATTACTGCAGGGACCAGCAAGTGACCACCAGTGCCTGATGCTGTACCAGCCCACAGGACAAAGGGGTTTTAAGTAAAACCTAGAGAATAGGACACCCACAAGTCACTTTCTCAGGGTGGGGGTCACAATAGGTAGACTCTGGATTCAGTGACATTTCAACTCTGCTCTTTACCAGCTGGCTCATTTAGCTAAGTTACCTCTGAGTAAGCAGTTTCAAAGCTGGGCAAGAGGTGGGGCTTCAGAATCTGTCATTAAAAATCCTGGCTCTTTCAGTTTTAGCATAAACACTGGGCAAGTGATTTCACCAGCTGAACCTTCTCATCTGTAAAATGGCAAATATATCACCTCCCTCTTAAAGAGGAGGCAGTGTCAAAGCAGAGGAAGTCAGTAAGCACTGCCCTGTTTAATCCTCATGGCAATAAGAAGCGATATTATTATGCCCATTTTGCCGATGACATAGTTGAGGCGTAGAGGTATGAGGCATGTCCTGAAGTCACCAGGCTATTAAATGGAGCGAGGGGGGCTGGAAGTCCAGTCCAGAGCTGTCTGACCCAAAGAATGCTCTTAAGCACTGTGAAGGGTCCATCCAGCCACAGAGCATCCACAAGTCAAACCATCAGGTGGCTGTAAACCACACACAGAGTTCACAAAAGCACAAGGAACTGTAGTATATTAAAGTTGGGGGGGGGATGGATATCAAATTGCAGGTACAGTATGAGCTGAACTATGTTACTATACATGAAAAAGACCAGAAAGCCAGGAATTTATAGTGGTGATCTCTGAGATTATGGGCGCATACATTGTGTGTATTCCCTTCTGTCTTGTCTATGTGCATACAAATTTGATCATAAAAAAAGAAAGAAAGATGCTCAAAGGCCACCTCTCCTTGTGCATAGGCCTCCCCCAGATGGATGTTGTGGCTGACAGATCGCACAGTACTCTTCCCTCTTTTGCCAACTCCTTCTAGATCTCTACCCCAACTGCTTCCCTGTTCTTCCTCCCTTCTCTATCTTTGTATAAATTAAACTGGGGGCAGATGTGTGTTTACCTAATGAAGGTATCATTGAAACTCTGCCAATTAACCTTCGCTTACCTCAAGATCTGACTAATTTCTTATTCATGAAACTGCCAACACCCTGTGGCCTAATTCTCCCTGCCAGGTGCCAACAATGCGTACCCCACAGAGTCTCCCTCACCTTCTGCTGGTTTGAAAATTTTTGCAACCAATTCCACATGAGCCTCCTCTTGCAGAGGCTGTTCCCCCAGTGACCTTGCCTGAAACCACAGGGCCCAGATTAAAAAAAAAAGACAGTTACAAGTTATTATGCTTTCCAAGATTACTGTGCAAAGGACAAAAACCCTGAGTGTCGTGTCAAGTTCAGTGTGTGGCAGACATGAAATGTGACAGGGCAGAGCAGAAGGGCACACTGAGACATGACCCGGAGTGTTGGGCTCACGGTCAGCATGTGGAAAGTGTGGTCATGGCAAGTGTGAGCTTGAAGGTGGCAGAGGAAGGTGGCAGAGGAAGGAGGCAGAGGTGTGAGGTTTAGTTTGGAGCCCTGGCAGTTGCGGAGGAAGGTGGGGCAGTTTTGAAAGGAAGGGACAGTTTGTGAGCTGTCTGTCTTGCATCCACCATGCTCGTTCAATACTGGCCGGGTGCCTGCTTTGCTTATTAGTAGAGTAGGTTTACAGGTTGTCCTTTTGTTTTGCCTTGACTGACTTCACTCTGATTCCACCCAATGTAGCCCTCCTGCCTCCTTAAATGAGAAATGATGTTGCATTTTCAAAGAAGATGCCTTTAAGGTAATTCTGAACAAAAATCAGGGCCAGGGGCCTACGAAGCTCTAGACCAACCCCCAAATGATTAATAAAGAATTGCATGTGAGCCTACATTGACTTTTTTCTTTTCATGCCATCGGAAGGCAGGGTAGTGAGAACTAGAAGGCAGACTGGGTGATTTCCCCAATCAAAAATTCATCATGGGAGTTCACAATTCTCAAATAAAAAGATGTAAGCACATCACTGAGTTGATTTCCCCAAAACTGTCCAGCTGTGACTGGATAAAGGAAATAGGACCACAGGGACCTCCAAGTTCAGCAGCGGGCTGTTTTCTCTGTGGTGTTTACCAGTGTTAACTAGCTCCTGTAGGTGCATGCACAGATGGAAACATCTTCAGCTCAGGCGAGTAGTTTAAGTTATGAGTTTTTATTGTTCTATTTATTCTCTTTATCCCTCCCCCCTGTGGTGAAAGTAAAGCGTGCCAGCTCCAAACTCAGGTGGCTCAGCCTGCTCAGAGGATGTTACAACTATGCTGGCGCCTGGAGGGGCCATGTGAACAGCTAGGTGGTAGCCAAAGTGGGCCCAGGGCTCACAGCTCTCGATGTCCAGACCGTGGCAATTCATTTAAAAAGAGCCAACATGAAAAAGTTAAGAACAAAATCAATGAGCCAACATTTTCTGGGACAGCATAACGCCTCCCAGGGTCTTCACATAATGCAGGGCACATAAGGCCTGTGTTTAAAGTTGTTGGCTTAGACCAGGGAGCAAACATCATCCTTCAAATGATGTAATAACTAGATTTGATTTTTTTTTTTTTACCATTATTACCAGGAAGGAAATAGACCTGAATGTTCTGGAGTGAAGGCAACAGAAAATCAAGTTCTGCTTCCTGCAGAGGGACTTCAGAATTGACCCTGCCCTTTGGCAAGTCTGGCTAGTCCCAAGCGAAACAGCTCAACTGGCCTCCCTGGTAGGAATTATTTTAAATGCTCTATTTAGTTTTTCCTGAATTCCTCCATTGTTATTTTTAATAATGTAGAGGTCTCACATGTATTTCATTAAATTTATTCCTACATATTTGATGTTTTGATGCTTTATTTTGATCCACTACTTGGCTTCTTGAGTCAGTCTGCCTTTGGAGCTCTGGCCCCAGGCAGGCGGTTTGGTGAAAATAACGAGAGGTGCGTACCCCTGATGGCTGAGTGCCCTTTAGGGGCGCTTTGTTAGAGGAATACAGTAAGGTTCTGAAAACAAATTTTAGCTTGATTTAGGGCCTTGGGAAGCCCTTCTCCAGGCATTCAGCAGAGTTCTCTGGAGGTGTCTGTGTGTGAGGCTGGAGAGGGTGACGCAAATGGACAGTCCCTGACTGGGGTACCCCTCATGCCTCTAGAGACTCATGGGAGCTTCTACTCCATCGTTTTCTTCCCTATCCATGGTGGATTGGCAACACCTTTGAGGTTTCCTGCTGGGGCTATACTCAGGTGATTACAGTGTCTGTTACTGCTCCTCTGTCCCCTACAGAGTTCCCAGGGCAGGAAATCCCCAGGAGCCACCGCAGAACCTACTCTTGGCAGCATCTCTCTCAGGTTTCTTCTCCTTAGCCTCTAGGCCTGGTGGCCTACATCCATGGTCTCCCCTGTGGCTGGGCCCATCCAGATTGCTGGCCTAGTGGGTAGTCACCCAGGTTCTGGGATTCAGCTGCTCCCTAACATCGTTCTCAGTTCAACCCTTGACTCATCCCTTTGCTCCATTCACCCCACCCTGAAAATGATGCCTCAACTCCATGAGCAGGCATCAAGTCTGGATAGAAGGACTTAGGCACCTCTTTGTGTTGGAAGAGAAATCTGATGAGAAATCTGACAAGAAACCTGGTTTCCCCCTTCCTCCTCTTTCATACCACTAAAGGAGAGAGTAACAAGTAGGAGAAGAGGGACAGAAGGCGGGGGAAGTATACCTTGTTACCAAATGACCAAAAAACAAAGGATTCCTGAGTGCCAACCATGTACCAGGCATGCTGCTATGGACTGAATGGTTGTCCAAAATTTGTATGTTGAAACTTAATCCTCACTGTGATGGTGTTTGGGGATGGGGCCATCGGAAGGGTGATTAGTTCATTCAGGTGGGGCCTTCATGAATGGGATCGGTGCCCTTATAAAAGACACTCCAGAGAGCTCCCTTAACTCTTCCACCATGTAAGGATACAGTGAGAGGAAA